GAATTGGACTCTTGACTCGATTAAAGAAAACAAAAGATGAAATCTATTTGAGTAAGGGTGAGTTTTTCTGGCTATTTATAGATCGAATTTTCTTTGGAAAAACATATTTGTGCTGCATACCCATGTCGCCACTACTCTAAACCCACTAAGTAAATCATGCCCTAAAATTAAGGAAATGAACTCCTCAATGTGCAAGACCATGACATGGACTCAGTCATGGAGAGTAGTCCGCAAGTTTTGGAAACAAAATCAGATTTTATTTTATAAAACTGATATTTCGAAAATAAGAGAAAATAAAATCCTTTTCATAATTCAAAAAGATAAGATTTTAACCTAAATGTTTTCCTAAAATTAAGCAACACACAAACTTATCTTTTAGACCAATTCCACACAACTAATTTAAAGTGTAAACTTAATTCTTATACTTACATAAATTCTAAAACACAAAAATATTTTAGTCTTCATGTTTCTCCGATGAAGCTTCTATTCCTAGGCTTCTGTTCCTTATGAGGAACTTCGCTTCTCTGGTGAAGGTAAAGCTTCTACTCTGAAGCTTATGTTCCCTGTGGGGAACTTCTCTTCTCAAGGCTCCAACTTTGAAGCACCAATTCCTGTGAGGGAACTCTCTCTTTTGGATTACTTTGTCCTATGCCATCATCTTGTTCCTCATGGAATCTTCACAAGAGAACTCAATTCTCCTAGTCAATGCATCTGATCACACGCTTAAACAATCAAGCACTTATTAGTCTGTAAATAAGTTAGGTTGTGGCATCATCAAAATCATAAGGTCAACAGTTAATATATCTAATGACCAATATGTAAAAATTATAAACATTAGATATTAAAATTGTATAAATTGAGATGAATCTAACAAGATCCCACATGACTATATTTTTAGTTAAGTATAAATCGTCAAAGCTAGTCAAAGTGAAACACATGAATAGTGTAAAAGTCAAACTATTGCAACTATATAGAAACAGTGTAAGTATATATAAGTAATCCATTTTGTTCATTCAAGTCTTAAAATTGTGCACCTAGACTGGCACATACCAGTAGTTACAACGGGATGTGATAAGGTTTTATTGAGGGGGGGAGTTGTAATGGTGTGATTAAAGGTTGTAATCTCGTTTTTCTCCATCGAACTGCTAATCTATAATGGATTGATGTGTTTTTGCAGTTTTTCTCCTATATATATTTTGAGTATTTCATGGTAAAATCTCTCCTTGTCTCCTTCATACCGACTGCTTGGTTAATGGTGGGTAATCACAAATCAGTTAGCACTTGCTTTCCCCTTTCAATTACTTTCACCATATGAAACATGTACTGTAACATCTTCAAATCTTCTTCTATGAAAATACTAGAATAATACATAAAATACTGTAGAGATAGACTTGGGCGTATTACCGCCACGTGAAAACGTAAGGCTAACTCAAACCAATGAACTTAGCAGCGGAAACAAAAACTAACTTTATTTTATTAAAACTTAACCAAAGTTGTTGAGTACAAACTTATTATTAAACTTCAAAAGAAAACCTAAACGAGGTGATCAATCCCGAACTCCCGATGCACGATACAACACATAAACTCCACCTAAAATCGCGACTGCTTACCAAAATTGGTAAACAGGGCGAACCAAAAACAAATAGGAATACGTGTTAGCAAAAACGCTAAGTACATGCATATAAATGCAAGACATGTCAAATTCTTTTATTAGGCAAACATGTTTTCAAAATAGTTACATTAATTTAAACAAGCCAAAATGTAACTTTCCCAAAATTTATCACTTTCCAGAATTAGACTTTTCAAATTTATAATTTCCAAATATAGGCTTTCCAAACATATGAATATTTAATAATAGAAACTTTCCGAAAACCAATTCCTCTCCTAAGTGTGCACATCCCCCAAGCAAGTAAGACTATACTCGAGGAAAGACTAGATCATATAAAGTTCATGGTCTTACTTAACCAGTCCTGAGTAGAGGGACAATAAATATTAAATACTTAGGTCCATAATGAGCTACAAATTTAATTCAATTTCTTTAATAATAACTAAATTCAATTTAATTCAAACATGATTTCAAAATCAATCCTTTAAACAATTTATTCAAACATTCATACAAAAAATTATTCAAACATATACATATATAGAAAAACCTTTATCAAAGGTCCAACCATATCTATACGTACCTCATCCTTCAAGAATTATTATCCCACCGATTACAATCACAAACGATTTCGTAAACAAACATTATAATTATGTTTTAAATAAAATTTAAAGATTAAAACTTTATAAAGTTATAACTTTGAAAAGAAATATATATTTTAGAAAATTAACCATGGAAGAATTAAAGGAATAGGATTAAAAAATTGAATTCGCGTTGGAAAAGATATGCAGAACTTGCAGAGACCATAACTCCTAGAATATAACTCTGAATAGGGTTATTCTTCTGCCTAAGGTCAAAGATTTTTCGAGAGGAACAACTTTATGTGAAAAAGTAAAATGCTAAAAATGAGCAGAAGTGCCTGAAAACTGGCTTTAAATGTATACGGGCTGATCTACGAAAAAGATTTAGAAAGTAGGAAAAGGTTAAGGAAAAAGAAAGTTAAGAGAAAAGAAGAGAATTGGGTATTGGTGTGAAGAAAATGAAAGGTGAGGAGGGGTATTTATAGTGTTTAGGGAGTATGGAATTTCGGTTTTATGAATAACAAAAGATAGAATTTAGATTGTGAAAAGACATAAATTGTCATTGATATTATTTTTTTTTCTACAAAGATAATTAGGAAAATACATTATAGTTTATCATTTAGCAATTTAAGGTGTGAAAAGATAGAATTTAAAGTGTGAAAAGGAATGAATTTAAATGTGAAAAGAAATAGGATTTACACTAGATTAGTCTCATGCGATGCACGACTTAATAAATATTTATTTTTTCATATCAAAATTTTTAAAAAAATCTCTCAAAATAAATAATACATCAAATATTAAAAAAATTTTTAGAGCTCATAGAAAAATTGAATGATGAAATGGAAACCTGAGGAAAAATAATTAAATTATTATTGTTAGAGAGAATTAGATTGTTTTTCGGAAATTGATACTAATACGGAGTAATAATATAGCTAACCAGAATTTTAATAAAAAAATAATAAAAATCATGAAATGATGACATCATTTATTGTTTTGGAGGGAAATTTTTTAATGGCAACATGACATGTGTCTAATTTTATGATGGGATGATGTCAGTGGTTGCTATTTTAGTATTAGTTATAGATTGGTTTTTAATTTAGGAAATTAAGAAAAATACAAGAGTTTATCATTAAATAAATTAGGTAAAATAACAACTAAAAATCTGGTTAAATACATCAAATATTTGTCAGCCATAACCTAATAATTATCATAATTTTTTTTTATAATTATAAAATAAAAAATTGATCATAATTAATTTGGAAATTCAATAATTAATTAATCAAAAATCCGAAAATAACTTTATAAAATCTAAAAATTTAGGATAAATATGGTATCATTTAATAATTATCATGACCAAGAATTTGAAGCTAGATAAGTTTTATAAACCGGAAATGATTAATTTTGACTTGCACGGTAAAAGTATTGTGAAAAGCTCAAGATATTTCAAAATAATTAATTAAATATTGATTTCAAAAGATAAAATCACTTTCAAAATAAAAAATTAATTTCCATAATTAATAATTAATTTTAGGAATTTTTAATATAATAATTAATAATTAGATTTAATTAATCCATGAATCTAAAATTAAATAAATAAAATCTGAAAATTAATATATAAATTCATAAATCACTAAACTAAATGACGTAGTTTAGTTTAATAAATTTTGGAATAGTATTATGTGATAAATTATAAAATTAGACATTAATAAATCAAAATATAATTAAATAAGGCTATAAAATCCGAAAGTCATAAAAATAATTATATCTACTCCAATATTTTGGTGCCTAAATTTGAATTGTTATTTTGGATCTTATATTCAAATAGTATAAAATTACTAATAAATACCCTTTTAAATTAAAATTATGAAGAAAAATAATTCTCAAAATTACGGGGTATTACATATACTCTTTATTATGTAAAAATAGATTTATTAGTTTTTGTGTTGTTTTTGTGTGTTTTGTGTGTGTGTGTATGTGTGAAAGAGAGAGAGAGAGGGTTAGGCTCCATGAATTTTTTTTAGTAGTTGCAACACTTCTCATCTAACATTTGCCAATGTATAATTTTAATCACTTAAATTGTAATTTTAAATGTGTTATAATAAAAAAAATTATTATGCATGCATAAATTGATAGGAGTGGGCAAAAAATCCAATTCGATTAACCTAATCCATGATTTGGTTGATCTAATCCGAAATTTAGGATATCCAATCTGATTTTTTTGTTTTGGAAATTTTGGATCAGATTTGGATCGATTCACATTGAAATTTTTCAAAAGTCTGATTTTAATTTTTTAAATTAAAATATTGGACAACCACCTATTTAAAAAATTTCGGATATCCAAAATATCCTTAAAAGCTAGATACGTTTTTAAAGGTCGAATTGGATGGGATATTCATTTGAATTCGGTTGGAAATTTATTCGATTTTTCGAATAGGAACACATTGGATAACCGGTTTGGCCACCCTACAAATTGACTATACTTTCTTTAATTATGAAATATTAAAATGAGTGGAAGTGGAGTGCATAAATAATGCAAAAAGGCTACCATCAATTTTTCGTAATTTGATAGTGTCGTAGAAGATGTTATGTCCATTAGTTGTAATTTTAATCCGCTTTCTTGATCTCATGTTAAAAAGGAGGGCTACGTAGTTGTTCATCACCTCACTAAATTAATGTCTTTTGGTGTAGAACAAGTGTGTCTTAATCATTATCTGTCGGAAATTTCCTTATATGTATTCTCTAACACTTTGCTCATGGGTTAATGAAATACTCCCTCTGTTCCAAAATAATTGACAAATTCAAACTTTACACACATAACGATACACTATCGCAATTATAATTCGAACGTGTTTAAACGGAGAGTAGCTCATTTTGACGAAAAAGAAAATTCAAAAATAAAATCATTACAATTATTTTTATAAAGTCGGAGTAATAGCCAAATTGGTTAGTAAGATAGCGCAAAAGGTGATCTAAACCAATTTTTTAATAGCGAAAAGAAGCTGCAACTCTGCAAGACGGATCTAAGCCTAAATGTAGTTATGCTTATGCAGAGTAGGCGCACCCCGATTACAAATGATGGCCCCCATTTATTGAATCTAACAACACCATAATCAAACGACAAACAACAAACAACTAACAACAAACAAACACCACCATCAGTCATCACAAAAACAAAAATTAAAACTCTTACTCCCATAGTCCCATTCCATCTCCTCCCACCCCCGTGATCGCTTACTTCATTCCCCCCATTCCCATTCCCGTGACTCCAACAGTTAATAAATTTCCAACACTCTGTCTTCCACTTTCTCCCCCCCATACTTATTCACACTCACTCCCCATTAATCCCCACTCAAATTCAGCTTTTTTACCGGCCACATACAAAACCCCCTCAATCTAATCATATTACGTAGTATATCTAATCTAATCAACCCATTTTTGATTTTCCTATTCATATTCCAATATCACACCCTTCCAAATCCGGCTTATTTCTCTCACTTAATTTTATTCATAAATGACAACTCCTTTTACCAGAAATTCTATAAATGCCAACCCATTTCACTATTCTTACCCCCATTTTGAACCCCACCCAAATAACAACACCAACAATAACAATAATTACAAGAAAATACTCTTTCTCCTTCTTTCAATGGCTTCCTCTCTTTTCTTCCTCCTCTTCCTTTCTCTCTCCTCCCTCTCCTCCGCCCACCGCCACCCCCACAACCCCCGTGCTAAATTCTCCGACATTCAACCCTCAGTTGCTGCAATCCGTCAAGCGTGCCGGGCGACCCGGTTTCCTGATGCGTGTCAATCCATGTTAGCGGGTCGGGCTTCGAAGGATCCGACTCCTGCAGAGATTATTCAGTTGGCGTTTCAAGTTTCGACCCAGAATCTTAAAACGGGTCAGGCTATGGTCCAGGAGATTCTAGAGGCTTCGGCCCATAATCCTAACCGCTCACGTGCCTCCCAAACGTGTCTTGAGGTTTTGGGGAATTCTCAGGCTCGGAGCTCTGCTGCGGAGGATGCTTTGGCACGTGGGAAGCTTAGGGATGCACGTGCATGGGGTAGCGCTGCGCTTTCTTATCAATATGACTGTTGGTCAGGTAATTGCATTACGTCTAATTATTCATTTAAATTGTTACTCTTGTGTATTAAATTTGTCAGATTTTTCGAGGATTTTTTTTATTATCAAATGACAAACCTTAAATAATGGTCAAAATTTTGCATTATTAACACCATTGTCCATTAGCAATTTTACAAAAATGTGTACTTATTACCGCTTTAGCTGTTTATTTACAAGTTTGCCATCTTGATAGACATGGGTTGTTTGTCAAGATAAACTTATATTTCTTATATTTACTCGTTATTAAAAATTAGTATTGTGAAAATATAAATTGAGAAAAATGTAATCATAGTTTCCTAAATATTTAAATGTCAACGAGTTGGTCAAATGGAACATTATGAATACTTTGAATAGTACAAATTTCTAAATGTCACAACTAATGAAGAAAGTATTTATTGTTATGGAGTATTATTTAGTATAAATAATAAAGACAAGGATGAAAAAAATTGTGTAGGAGAAATGTGCAAGTTAGAGTGTAACAATATTGTGGATGACTTACGATTGGATGGTTGAGTGCTAGATACTTCAAATGTAATAGTTAGCGGTTTTTAATTATGGTGTTTAATGCATAAGATATTATAGTTTATGTTGATGTAAGTCTGTAACACATGATGTTTTACAGGTCTCAAGTACGTCAATGATTCAGCTGCAGTGAACTCGACGATGTCGTTTTTCGACACCGTCTTGATCACATCAACCAGCAATGCGCTCAGTATGCTGCGTGCGCTGGATGCGCTAGGGCCTGATCCGGCCTCATGGACCCCACCTCGTACCGAGCGGGATGGGTTCTGGGAGCCTGTTGTGTCGGGGTCGGAGTCGGAAACTCTGAAGTTTGGGTCATTGTCGAGTTCTTTTAAGGAGGCGGATGCGACAGTGTGTGCTGGAGGAGGGTGTAAGTACGAGAAGTTGCAGGACGCGGTGGATGGGGCGCCAGAGAATTTGGAGGGAGGGAAGAAATATGTGATCAAGATAAAGGAAGGGGTTTATGATGAGATAGTGAGGGTGCCTTTTAATAAAAAGAATTTGGTGTTTTTGGGGGATGGCATGGGTAAAACTGTCATTACTGGTTCTTTGAGCACTGGGATACAGGGGATCACCACCTATAATACTGCTACTGTCGGTGAGTTGATTATACTAGTATTATTTTGGTGCTTAAGCTGATTATTTTCTAATTATGCATGCATTGATGTTGGTGTTGTTAGGTTAAAAGGTGTTCTAGACTTTTTAGAGTTCTTGACTTCTTGTCTTCTTTATTTGTTTGTGTAAGAAATTGCATCTAATTTTAATTATATAAAGTAGTTTTGAATCTGTTGATGTTGAATTATGTATTGACTCTTCGTTTCACCTAAAATATATGTATCGGATTTAGGACACTCAGATATTTGCATAACATAACACTTGGACATGTACCCTTGTCTAACACTTTATGCTGAGTCGAAGTAAACATAGATGGTGACTTAGTAATTATTAAAATTGGGCTGAGTAATGAGTATTAATCTAAATTTGTCTCCTATTTGGAAGTTATGGGCATTCATTGAAAAAACAATCTTGGCTATTTAAGTGATGTACTAATTTAGCTTTAGGAATCTGGTACGCAATTGTTTGGTAAGTTGCACTTGATTAAGTTATACTACCTTAGATTGGGAAGTGGTACCAAATATTGACGCTGTTAGTGTCGCCATCCTGATGTGGAATGTGATAAATAGTCACTGGCCCAATTCATTGATACTCAGTGCTAGTATGTGGTAGCAAGAAAACTTCACATGCCCTGTCTCCTTAAATATCTTACCTGAGTAATGGGTAGCTGGGCTGAACTAGAGAATGTGGCTAGGCAAATAATGTTAATGATCATTGCTGAAGCATTCATATATACTCATTTACAACATTGTAGGTCCATGCATGGATTGTTTGTCTGCAAATGCTTTTTTCTGAAGCATCAATGATCTTGAGTTAGTGGTTTGTCTTGTATCTGCCTGATGATGATTACAGATCCTTGGTACATGTTAAAGGAGATATGTGATGTGAGTTATATTGGAAATCTGACTTTATCGTGTTTTCCTACTCATTTATGTAATTATGTGTACTTATTATGCTTTTGTGTCTGTGAAGCTGCAAGAGTAATATTATGTATTTTTGCAGCCTTTTTCAAATGGGAGCATGAATTGATGTGTTCTTACTGCAGGTGTCCTTGGTGATGGATTCATGGCCAGTGGTCTTACTATTCAAAATACAGCAGGACCAGATGCTCATCAAGCTGTAGCCTTCCGTTCAGACAGTGACTTCTCTTACGTTGAAAACTGTGAATTCCTTGGTAACCAAGATACCATCTATGTCCATGCCCTCCGCCAGCTCTTCAAATCATGTCGAATTGAAGGAAATGTTGACTTTATCTTTGGCAATGCAGCTGCCATCTTCCAGGACTGCACCATTCTAGTCCGTCCTCGCCAACTAAAACCTGCGAGTGGTGAGACCAATGCAATATCTGCCCATGGAAGAACAGACCCAGCCCAAACCACAGGGTTTGCCTTTTTGGGTTGCCAGATTAATGGAACCGAGGAGTACATGAAACTTTACCACAGTAAGCCTAGCAAGCACAAGAATTACTTAGGGAGGCCATGGAAGATGTATTCTCGTACAGTTTACATCAACAGCACCATGGAAGCTCTGATCACCCCTGCTGGCTGGCTTCCATGGTCTGGAGATTTTGCATTGTCTACTCTCTACTATGGGGAGGTTGGAAATACCGGTCCCGGTGCCGATTTGTCTAACAGAGTTCCTTGGAGTAGACAAATTCCTGGTGAACACATCTCCACCTTTTCTGTACAGAATTTTCTACAAGGTGATGAGTGGATTACAACAGCTTCTTGATTTTGGGGAGCTTTCAAATTGTTATTATTGGAATATAGTAGTTGTAGAAAAGAGAATGTAATTTCATCTTACCCTCATTGTTTGAAGGATGAAAATATCACAGATTTTGGTGAGACTAGTCCTTTAGCTTGCGGCATTACTCTAGAGTCTAAGTATCTCTGCCTGTGTACATATATTTTACAATGGGAAAAGAAACAGGAAAAACTTTTTATCCCACCTCAGTCAGTTGTAGATCATCTCAAATATATTGATGGCAGAAATATTAAAGATCTGATATGCTTGGTGGTTTTGGGCAATTCTAGAACTGCACCGCATACGGATTTTCCCGGCTGCAGAACTTCTATATTTATCGTATGGTAAAGGATACTGGTGAAGGTATGGTAACTGTTCTTTCTAGTTACTTCGTATATGATCTTTGTTTTTTTTTTTCAATTTGTTGTTTTGGTTTCTAAAAGTGAGATATATCCAGGATACTAGTAGGAATTCAAAGTGAAATTAGTGAAATACAGGTTTTGCTTCATTAGGAGTCCAATGACTTTTTGGTACTGCCTACTCAACAAATTGTCTTTATGTCATTCATGTCCTTACTTCACCTTGCACTGCTATCTAAAGTTGAGTTGCAAATGATGTAAGCTGGCTAGATAAAAGTCTACGTGCCTAAAACATGCCCTTATTTATACAAATTAGAGTTATATGTTGGTCAAGTAGAGAGAGTAACGGCATGATAGGCATTTCACCCCTTGCCACCATGGTCTATCATATCTCAATATTGGATGGAGGTTTGTTCTTTCAATTCCACGATATGTTGAGAAGTTTGAACCTATGTATAAGCTTCAGTATGATTTCAATTGGCAACTTCACACACGGATGGTGATCAAGGTGACAGGGGTGAATGGACTTGAAAAACTCGATGGTTTCTGATGTGCTATTGATTTGTGAGTAATTCACTAGAGTGGTTATTTTTAGTCATTTAGGTCAGTTTCGACCTTAAGCTATTTGATTGTAGAACTGAAACTGTCAAAGTTTGTAACACACAATTATGTTATACTATATCAGACGAAATCAATGTTGAGTCAACAATCATCGAGAAGGGCACCACTGAGCGAGGTCGAGACCAGCACCTTGTATAGGGTTCCAACCCTGCCCTTCTTCCAATATCCTATGCAAGCTTTAGCTTGACTAAAGGGGGCTGGTTGCTCCGTTATATGCATGCTAATGGGGCAAGTATGTTTCTCATTGTGGTTCACCTTCATATTTTTCGTGGTCTATATCATGCGAGTACTAGGTGCTGACTATGAGTCTGCCTCTTTCACACATAATGAGGCAAGGTTGTATGACTTGTATAGTCACAATAGCTTCATATAGAGAGAGATTCAAGAGCTCTCGCAAATAAAAATGGTAGCAGGCGATATGTCGCATTTTGAAATTTAAACATGGTGAAGGAAGGGAGTATCATGATTGGGGGGTGAATTGGATTGTTCAATCTGTTAGCACTGCTACTTCTTTCTGGTTGAGCTTTAATGCATATAGCTCGCTGATCTTATTAGCTCAAAGAGGTGTCTAAGGAATGGAAATATGTACTCCATATAATTTAAAGAAAAAACAAAGGAAAAGACAATAGATTAGACTGTTTTTGGCCAAAATGACCAAAAGATTTTAAGACCTTAGAGGAGGGGGAAATGAGAGAGGATTAGAGGGGAGGAGAGAGAGCAACAACCTATGTAATATAGCAACAATCACTTCAAAGAAGAGAGAATCTTCTAAATTATATGAGTAACTTGTTTGGTTAACCTTTAGAATTTCATGGGAATTTGCAAATGAAATAGTTGTTGGTTGACAATAAAAAAGTGAAAATAGAGGAAATAAAAAATTATGGAAATTTAAACTTCACATAAGAAATAAATTATCTTATCCCCCTTAATCAATCAAAATTCATAAACAACACTTCCTGACTCCCTCCGTTCTTCAATGATGTTCCTACTTTGTATTTCGGATATTTTAAAATGATATTCATACTTTCTATTTTAATTTCTCACCTATTCTCTTTATTTTCCCATACTAGCCTCATTTTAATGGTCCCAATCCAAAAAAATAGTCTCCATGTAATTTATTCCAAAATACTACCTCCATTTTTCTTAGTTGACACGTTTTTATTTTGTGCTCTATTCACATAACTTAATTTGACTTTGTTTTGTGACTTAGTGATAGATAAAATAATAGTCATGTAGGGTCTTGTTAACTTCATCTCAATGTTTAGTTTTCGAATATCAAAATTTATATTTTTTGCTAATACGTAATTAACGTATTAAAGATATTTACATTTGAAAACATGCGTTGGCAAACGTGTCTAAATAAAATGTCTCAACTAATAAAAAAAAGAGGAAGTAATAAGCAGCTCAATGTACTTTTTACACCAAAAAAGGATGGTCCCATTTAAATGGTTCAAATGTACTTTATCCCAAGATTTTTCTCTTATCTTAATTTACACAAAAGACTTTAAATGGAAACATCATTATGAGACGGAGGGAGTAATTCCTAAAAAATCTGACATTACTTTACATAGGTATAAAGTTGATAACTTCCAATACAAATTTATAAAATCATAAATTAAATTTGTTAATTACTAAGAAAGTATTGGAAACTACTAAGAAAAAAAAAAAAAATAGAAAAAAAAAGACTTGGGAGTATTCCTTTGTTCTATCGCGATCTTCATTTTCTCCTTCGTGATTTTTACTCTCAGTAATAATCTTCATTTTCTCCATCGCAATCTTCACTTGGTCTTTTGTAATCTTTACTTTCTTCATCGTGATCTTCATTTTCTACATTGTGATCTTTGCTTTGTCTAGATAAACTATAAATTATTAGAATTTTATAGTGATAATCATGTACAAAGACTTGGACTCGAACAATTCATTTACTATAACCTTTATTCAACGTTCTTGTTCTTTACTAAGTTATTTAATATATAAGCCTGCCATGACTTTCAGATTTTGCACATCCCCTCCTTCAAATTATCTTATCATATATTCTTAATTATTTTGTTATTGTATAAATACTTTATTAAAATGTCCCATCATGATGTACACAAATAATATTGTGATTTATTGATTACCATAGCAAATATCAAAGATACTTATGAAGAACAGGATTAATACTAATGTAGACTTGGTGATATATTTCTAGGAATGAATTCACATTTGACTAAAGCAATATCTGAACTAATGGCTTAAAAGAATTTTTTTTTTTGTTATTGTTGTTGTAAATATACATACAAAAAGGGGGAGGGGGATTCGAACCTGTAACCTATCATACATTGACCTCCATTCTTAGTCTTTGTCATTAAACAAAAACCTCATCGATATGTCATTGAGACATACTAATTGGAAATTAATATCTAGTTGTTAAAAACGTCAAGTCTCAAGAGACACAAATAATAATTTAATCTTCCTTTATTAACAATTAAATTCAAACATCATATCTTAATGACGTTTATTAAATTGTTATGGAACATGTAAATACTCTATAATTCTAACGTGTACACCGTGTACACATGCCTATAAATAGCTCAGAGTCAGATACTCATACGGAGTAGCAAGTAGCAATAATAGACATTTAATTATTAGAAATTTACGACTATAAACCATTGGCAAAAACAATGCCTCTCTTCACCATCTTTCCCTTGTTGTATATTACAAACACAATTATCATAGGTATCCCAACAATTGCGATCTCTGATTCCTCCTTTAAAGGGAATGAAACAGATCATTTCACGTTATTAGCCATCAAAGCTAAGATAACCTCTGATCCTCAAAGAGTGCTGAGTTCTTGGAATGAGTCTACCAATTTTTGCCTGTGGGAAGGTGTCACATGTGGCCGTCGCCACAAAAGAGTGACAGTACTGAATCTAACTGAGAAAGGATTGGTAGGGAAACTATCACCTTTTGTAGGAAACCTGAGTTTTCTGCACGCTCTTATACTGACAAACAACACTTTCTGCGGCCACATTCCTCCTGAAGTTGGTCGTCTTTCTAGGCTGCAAACTCTTAACCTGTATCACAATTCATTCGAGCAAGAAATCCCTGCAAACATCTCTCGTTGCATGCAGCTTAAGATTCTTGAGTTGGGTTACAACAAACTCACTGGGAATATTCCTTCCCAACTTTCCTTGTTGTCCAAACTAGAAGTCCTCGGACTTGACTGCAACAACTTAACAGGTGACAACCTTTCTCCTTTATCAAATTTAACTTCGTTAAAAGCATTGTAACTGTCTGGACGATCAGATACTGAGGGACCTTCTGGCTTTCGAGGAAGAATCCCAAATTTTATAGGGAAGTTCAAAGACCTCCAAGTTCTTGCACTTGGAGGTAACAGTTTCACTGGTGAAATTCCTCCCTCTTTATACAACCTCTCAAAGATCCAAAAACTCTCTTTAAATTTTAATCAATTAACTGGGAATCTTCCATCTTGGCTTCTACTTCCCACAACTTAGATGGTTTCAAATCGGAGAAAACCAACTCTCAGGACCTATTCCTATCTCATTGTCTAACCTTTCCAACCTCGAATATCTAAGTTTTGTTTGTAATGATTTTACAGGAAAATTCATGCTGGATGGAAGAAATATGAAGAACCTGTCGCAGGTACTTCTATATGATGCCATTTTTGGAAGAGGAAAAGCTAACGATCTCTGTTTTATAGACAATCTAGTGAACTGTAGTCGCTTAGAAATCTTGTTGTCTTCAGGAAATTACTTTGGCGGGATGCTTCCTCAGTCTGTAGCCAATCTATCTACCAAACTCCGATGGCTAGATTTTAGTAGCAATCGATTGTCAGGAAACATTCCTTTGGGGATGAGTAGTCTTTTGAACCTACAATATCTTCATCTAAATGATAATCAATTCACTGAACTATTCCAGCTGACATTGGTAAGATGACCAGGTTACAAGAAGCAATTTTCTCAAACAACCAGCTCTTTGGTAATATTCCCTCGTCCTAGGAAATTTATCCTTGTTGAGTAAATTGGATTTGTCGAACAAGAAGTTTCAAGGGACGGTACCTACTACTCTTGGCAATTGCAACAGTTTACTATACCTCTATCTTAGCCATAATAATCTAGTTGGAAATGTACCTTACCAACTCTTCCAAGCTTCAGAGTTACTTCACCTCTTTCTTGACCATAATCACCTGCAAGGCTATCTGCCTTCAGAGATTGGTGGCTCAAAGAATCTAGTAACAGTGAATTTTTCATATAACAATTAGTCCGGTACTATTCCAACTAGTCTTTCTGAATGTATTGCTCTTACAAATTTGTCTTTGAAAGGTAACTCCTTTTCGGGATTCATCCCTCCATCTTTTAGTCATTTGGAAGGTCTTCATAATGTCGATCTCTCTTGTAACAAGTTGACTGGACAAGTGCCAAAATACTTCTTCAACTTCTCCTCCATGGTTTTGCTGAATTTGTCTTTCAATAACCTTGAGGGCGGAGTTCCAACCAAAGGAGTTTTTGCTAATCTTAGTGTAATATCAATTGTTGGTAATCCAAAGCTTTGTGGAGGGATTCCACAGCTTAAATTACCAAGCTGACATCGAAGGGAAAAAGGAAGCCTCCTGCAGTTGTCATCGTTGCAGTCTCCATTGTAGCATGTGTGTTTGTAGGGGTAGCTATTGTGACATCGCTTTATCTGATTTGTACAAAACGTCGAAGCAAAGCTTCAGTTTCAGGGCTCTTGTTTAAGGAACCATTCATAAAAGTGTCATATGACATGCTTCTCAAAGCCACTGATGGGTTTTCTACTGAGAACATGATTGGTTCAGGTAGTTTTGGTGCTGATTACAAATGAACCCTTCTTTTTGAGGGAGTAGAAAAGGTTGTTTCTATAAAAGTGATTAACAATCAGCGCCGAGGAGCCTGTAAGAGCTTTGTAGCAGAATGTGAGGCCTTGAGAATTATCCGCCATAGGAATATTGTGGGAGTCATCACTGCTGCTCTAGTATTGACTTTCAGGGAAAGGTCTTCAAGATTGGTCTATGAACTTATGTCAAACTAAAGCCTTGAGAGATGGTTACACTCAAATCCATAAGGAGATGTTCAATATCAGAATCTGACCCTTCTACAAAGGTTAAATATAGCCATAGATGTAGCACATGCCCTAGACTACATCCACAACGGCATTGGTACTTCTATCATCCATTGCGATCTAAAGCCCACCAATATTTTGCTTGACGATGACATGACTGCCCACATTGGAGATTTCGGGTTGGTGAAGCTTATTCCAGAAATAGCTGAGCAACTCTATAACAGTAGCACTATAGGAGTTAGAGGCACTGTTGGCTATACTGCTCCTGGTAAAAATTGCACCACCTTATCTCAAAAATAATTTTAAAAATAGTTTATTCTGCATCCAATAATGATAACTTTGTAATGATTGATAATTTTTCGTCTAGAGTACGGCCTTGGATCTTCAGTGTCTGCAGCAGGTGATGTGTACAGTTACGGAATCATTTTGCTAGAGATGTGATTGGAAAGAAGCCCACTGATTTGATGTTCGAGGGAGATATGAGCCTGAACAAGTTTGCAGAGTTAGGTTTGGCTGATCATATGTTGGAGATCATAGATCCTAAGCTTAAATTTGATGATGAAGAAAGAAACATGGACTTGGATGATAGAAGGCCAGGCATTACTAATTGTGTTTTCGACTGCATAACAACAATGATCATGATTGGGGTGAGATGTTCATCTGAATTGCCACAAGATCGAATGGACATAAATGATGTCATTAGTCAGCTGCATGCTCAAAGAGACCACATACTCCTCTGTGGAAGGCGGCATAGATGCCAGCTTATACATTGAGGTACCTCAGAATATTTTCTTAGTTAAGCATCTCTGCTAAGATTACAGGATTTTACCAAGTACATCCTTGCCTAATTTTAGTAGATTATCAATAAACCGTACTTCTGATATCAGGAAAAGAAGAAAAAAAAAAGGATTTAGTCATTACCTAGCTTACTGTTAATGCACAATTTTTTGACTTCAGTATCTCATGACATTTGCAGGAAAATGAAACTGCTTACCTCATATACGTGAGAATCTGCTATGATGCTGCTGTAGTATATACTTTCTTTGTTGATGGAAGCTGGAATAATGTAGTTTACTTTGTGAAGAAAAAAGGATGTTTATAAATAGCAAGGAATTCAGCAATTCAGCATGTATTTTTCTTTGATATAACCATCTTCCCAGCAGAGCTACTAATATGTGTTGTGTGACTTGTGTCATATGTGCCTCGCTGCCTATTATCCTCCGTTTATGGTTGTATTTCTCGTTATACAAGTATTTCATATCTTTGTCGTCTAAGGATTCTCTTTCAGAAAATTCATGAATTGTATTTTATGTAAAAGTACTTGCAAAGGATTTTTTTTAAAGCCTTCATAAACACCATGCAATCAACTGATACTGCTTGAAAACAAAACGTGTGTAAAGTCCTAGTTTATTAAGTGTATAAATGTTAGTGTTATATACTAGCATTGGAAAGCAATCAAACAGCAGCCACGGACTCGCCTGCTAAGCAAGAGGGCTGAAGGAGTGAGTTCAATAAATACAATTGAGTGATGAGAGTCTCAATATTCTTTAACAAGCATCATTATTATTCATAGCTGACTGCATAAGGAAAAAGTGGGCGAAAGATAGTTCTTTTTCTCTATGACATTTTATAAAACACTTGAGGGAGTTGAGGCTGATGTATCTTCACTTATATATATTTGCTATGTGTGTCTTTTGTATCCACTCAATGCCGCTATAGATGTTCGACCGTGCAAACCAATCGTATGTAGAATTGCATTTTTAAGTTGGAGGTAGAAGCGTCCGCTCAAAGGCCTACATGCCTACAGTAGGCTGCGCGTCCGCACTAGATAAAACGGTACGTTCGTGCCCGTCAGTTTTGCTTCTCAATGTTCACCATGTGTTTTGTTCACTGTCGTTTGATGCTTTTGTTAAAGATACAACAGGTCATGACGACTATTGGCGTATTTCTTGGTGGAGTAACCGAGTAATAAAAGGGTTTATAGGGTTCCATAATTTTATAAAAGGAACTAGTGGAATGTATGTTAATTAAGCCGACACCGTACTAAGGGTCAGATAGAATTAGCCAAAAACACCACGTCGGTTAGCTACTCCGACGATACAACTCTACTAATTCCTAGATACAGATACACCACTAGGAATATTTGAGAGATACCTTGGATACGGAAACACCACCAAGGGGTTAGGGAGATAAAGCTCAACCTAAGAACACTCAAAGTGTTTAGTTATATTTTCATACTCTAAGACTTGAGTTTCACGGGTTACAACTATGGCTATTTATAGCCATGATTTAATATCTATTACATCTGTTAATGCAAGAAGCTAACTAATGCAAGAACCTTACTATTGTTGAATTTTAATGTTGTCGACTTGAGGCTTCCAGAAGTAGTCAAATTGGAGGGGATTCTAGAGAGAGCTTATTCAAACCTTGTCAAAATCCCCTTGTTGGAGAAGACTCAGCTCGACCTCGAGTCTTTTCTCTTCCTCATCCTCGTAATATGGGGGACAAATCAGCGACATTAAATGTAGCGGAAACATTGTATTACCCCGGAAGCTCGATCTTGTATGCATTTTCTCCGATCCTTTCTAGTACCTTGAATGGTCCGTCACCTCTGGGCTTGAGTTTACCATGTGTTCCTCTTGGAAACCTTTATTTCCTTAAGTGGATCCAAACAAGATCTCCTTCCTTAAAGCTAGTGGCATGGTTTACGAAACTTGTTCTTGATAGCATTGATTTTGGCTTGTAATTTGAGCCCGAACCATCTCATGTAGCTTCTTGATTTCTTTAGCTCGTTCATCAGCATCACCGCTAAAGTGGTTAGGAGAGGGTAATGGTACAAGATCAACTAGTGTGGTTGGATTCTTCCCATAGACGATCTTGAAAGGGCTTTCACCAATGGTTTACTCGGTGAACTATTGTAGGCAAACTCGGCTTGAGGTAACATCACATCCCACTGTCGAAGGTTCTTGCTTACAATACTTCTCAGCACATTCCCAAGAGTCTTATTGACAACTTCAGTTCGACCATTAGTTTGAGGATGTGCGGCTGAGCTAAACTGCAACTGCGTTCCTAACTTGCGCCATAAGGTTCGCCAAAAGTGGCTCATGAACTTGACATCTTGATCAGAAGTGATGATCTTTGGCATTTCATGTAGCCGTACAATTTCTCGAAAATAAAGATCAGCTACCTACGTGGCATCATTAGTTTTATTGCATGAAACAAAATGAGCCATCTTCGAGAATCGATCAACAACAACCATTATGGAATCTTTGTTGCGTTAGGTGCGTGGTAATCCGACAACAAAATCCATGCTAACATCTTCCCACGGAGCATCAGGCACTAACAATGGCGTATAAAGACCAGTATTTTGACCTCAAGCTCTGGCAATATGACATGCTCAGCATCGCTTGACATATCGATCAATGTCATGAACCATGTGTGGCCAATAAAAGTTTTCTGTAACAATGCCCAATGTCTTATCACGACCAAAATGGCCAGCAAGACCACCAACATGACACTCATGTAGTATCATCTCGCTTAGAGAACATCTTGGCAAGCACAATTGATTTCCCTTGAATAAGTAACCATCTTGTCTAGTAGTGGACCATAAGAGAGGCTTAACGGGGCTTAGCCCTTGATAACTTTGGGATAAAAAAATTATACTTTCTCTGCCCGTTATTATCTGCAACAAAGGAATATTTTATATCTCATAAATAATACACCTTTTGTTTCTGATAATAGCAAGCGGAGGGAGTACTTAGTATGTAAAGGCCCAATGAAAAAAAATACTGATTGCTTTTCTAGCCTAGCAGCCTAGTCCCTAATAAAGCTAAAAATAGAGTGGAGTACTACTTATTTACAATAGTCAATAACTACCCAATTCCAAAAAAGAAGTACCGACAACTCACAAAATTAAAATTGTATTTGCACTTTTTTCAAGGGATCAATTCCATTTCAAGAACAATTGAACAATTTTAGGTACTTGTCATATTCTATACTCAGTACTCGACTACTTCATATTATTTTAATTTCTTTTTTTACCATTTTTTTTTGTAATTAAATTTCTATGTTACATTTGACCAATAAAAAACAAATTGACAATTTTAGGTGACAAAATGTTATCAAGGTCAATAAATTATTCAGTTAAAAGTATAGAGTACCTTTTTGCCTTCGCTATGTCGCTCTTTATTTCTTTACTATTATCTATTAATTGACAAGTTGTTTTTAACTTTTGATTTGTGAATTGTAATGCATTGATAATAAATAAACCGGTCACTAATAAATGTATGCTTAAAGTTAGTTTCTTGTTTTTGTTCATAATGTATTTTTGAATTGGCCCCCGGAAGAAAAATTTTCAAGATTCGCCACTGATCTTGTCAATGAAACTGGCGGTGAGGGCCTCTTGAACAATTCTTCCAAATTTCTCCAAAGTCTTCATCATCTTCATATAAGTCTTTGAGGATCTCAATTACTTTGACTTGAAGAGTGGAGAGCAAGGTGTGTCTTCTACTTAAGGAATCAACAACCTTGTTTTGTGTCCCAGATTTGTACTTGAGGACGAAGTGGAAAGGAGATAAGAACTCGCTCCATCTTGCATGACGACGTTGAAGTTTATGTTGGCTTTGAAGATGCTTCAGTGACTCATGATCTTAATCGAGCACAAAATCTTTAGCCAAAAGATAATAACTCCAATTGCATAGAACTCCTTTTCATATGTTGAGTACTTGCGCCTTGACTCATTAAGTTTCTCACTAAAGAAAGTAATTGGTCGTCCCTCTTGGCTAAGGACTACACCTATACCAACTCCGGAAGCATCACAATCTACCTCAAGAGCTTATCAAAATCTGGCAAGGCAAGAATTGGTGCATGGGTGATCATGATCTTCAATTTCTCGAAGCTTTGTTGAGCTGCTGGGGTCCACTCAATCTTCTCTTTCTTCAATACTTCAGTGAGCAAGGCGGCAATAGTGCTGAAAGTTTTGATGAATCGGCGGTAAATAGATGCTAGACCATGAAAGCTGCGAACATCATGTATTGATTAAGGAACTGGCCAGGTGTTGATGTTTTCAACCTTGCTAGGATCTATCTCAATCCTAATGCTAGAGACAACATATCCAAGAAATACCACTTTGTCGGTGAGAAAGTGACATTTCTTCAGGTTGGGATACAAATTTTGTTCACCAAGAACTTTGAAAATTTGTTGCAAATGATCCTTATGGTCTTCAAAACATCGACTATACACAAGGATATCATCAAAGTAAACAACTACGTGAAAGGAATGGTGTCCTTCGAACAAGTATATTATTCCGATAGAGGGTTCGTAATTAATTAGAAAGCTAATTATTCAGTGAGGTCAAGTGATTGGAATGCCGAGCTGGAGGCCGCTTCCGATCAGTAATATTAATAAATAATTAATATTACATCTTAATCTTGACTAAACCC